AATTTAGACAAAGCTGACCAACTTAAAAACAAAATCTCTGCTCAATATTTTCATCTTAGGTTACAGCTTCAGTTGCAGTATCGATTATAACTCTCAAAACTTCCGTTTTATAGGTTTGAACAGGATTTCATTTTTTTGCAATAATAATTATGTAATTATTATTATTATTACCAATTTGTCACCCTGTTTCTTTCAACAAAACTATATCTTCAAATGTCAGACATCTTTATTTCTGTTCTTTATTTCGATCTACTTCTTCTGGATTATACTTAGGCTTGCCTACTATGCCTATTATGATAAGACTTATATTTTTCTCAGTTTTAAACATCTTTAAGGACAATTCCAATTGCATCAAAATAGGGTTGAACTTATTATGTGCTATATGAATTAATAGATCATTTAAAATTATATTTAAAAATATAATATAGAGACCTTCTTAGTTTATCCAACAATTTTAAATATTATAAGACTGGATGGAAGTACGAATTTGAGTCTAGCAATACAATTTAAGGTATAAGAGTGTTTTAAATTAAAGTCAAACATTTTGAAAAGTCTACAGGAAACATACTGTATGGTCTTTAAGTATCGGTTCATTTGTAAATACAGCATTACACTTTAATGAGTTTGGGAGATGCTGCTAGTCAAGAGCCAGTTTCAACTTGCTTGTTTCAAAGACATGTATGACATATATAAAGCACCTGCAGCACTTCTATCAGTGCATATTTTCTAGATGTTCTCATGGTAATAAAACTGCATGAAACAGATAAAAAATTCAGTAAAGATGTTGAGTAACCTATTGTTTCAAGAAATATCACCTTACAATAAGCATATGTTGAAATGTTTGCATTTTTTTAAAAATACGTCCATTAACAATTTATAAAATCTAAGATTCCAAAGACAATATAACATCTTATAAATTTATGGTCAGTCCCTTTGCTGTCATACATTTGATGTTTTTATAAGAAAAAAAGGAAAGCAAAATAAGAATTAAATGAACAATATAACATTTCCTCAACCACTGTTTGTAAACAACCATCTTTCCTTTCAGAAGATCGTTTTTTTTTTGACAATCTTTATATATAACAATGATTTTCATGTTTCACAAAATCCATTAGCTTGAAAACCGTAACTATGGATATTATGTTCTATGCAATTCCTTCAGTTGGTACACAGTGACTGATTCATATGTTGTTAGCAAGCTGTTGCATAAACGTACACAACAATGTATGTCCTGATTGCTACTATGAATGCAGCAGCACCCTCCAAAGCCCCCTCCCACTCTGCTCATCTAACTGTTTCCCTCTCTTCCTCATGATCCCTCAATAAACACTAACTTGTGTGAATGTTAGCGATGAAGATTGGTCAACCAGAGACTCACCTTCCCTGTTAACACTCTCTACCAAATCACAATGGTACAGTGAGGTGCCTGTCACCCCTCAAGTAACAAATCCTTTCTGGGGTGATTCATCTAAACCACGTTTTTCAAAGGTTATCAATTATGTATGAGCCTCCTCCTTAAATTATATCTGAGATGTTTAATCCCTTACTTGCAAATACCTAAATAAGTCTGCTGGTTTAAGAGTTGCCCTAAATTTAAGATCTTTGAAATGTGCCATTTGCTATCTTTCAAATAGACCTCTCTGTAGACCTGTTAATTCAAGATTTTTAAAATAATATGCCTTAATTCGTAGAAAGAATTTCCTGTTTCTTAGATAGGGCAGCAATGGTGAAGGGGAGGATGCCAGATTATACTCCCTAGCCACCAGATCCCAGAGGGAGTTGAGTGCAGCTGGGTACTCCATGCATAATATTGCTCAGCCATCTTTTGGGAACCATATGTAAAACTGTGGAAATTTGGCACCTATCATAAGGGATTCTAAATCCACTCACTTTCTCACCTGTATCAGAGCATGCCATATCTCTATTAGAGTTAGTTTGGTAGATTAGTAATAATAATAATATAGGTGTGGAAGGCCCAGTCGTCCCTGTAATTTTGATCTACACAGTATATTACTCGAAATTCTGTGTCTTTTTTTTTGCCAGAGAAATATTGTTTTTTATTATGCCAAATAAACAAGTTGATTACCTTTTGCAGGTGAGTTAGATCTGATTTAGTAATAAGGATTGGTAGTGTCTGAAATAAGAATAAAGTGCGAGGTAGCGCATTCATGTTAACATAGTGAACCCATCCAATCCAAGAGATTGGTCAATACAACCATTTATCCAAGTCTTAATTAGGGAGGGTGTAATGTAGCTGATACAATTTTGTCTGGTCTACAGTCAGTTGAATATCTAAATATTTTATTAAATTATGTGCGAGTTGGAGGTGATGAGTTGTATGGATAGAGTCTGCATTGGCCACCCAAAGGCCTATGGGGAGTGCACTAGATTTATCCATGTTTACTTGATACCTAGATATTATGCTATACTTTGTAAATGTTTTATCTAAAGCTACCATGGATTCACATTGGAGAGCTAACAACAGCAAAACATTGTCGGCATAAGCATAGAACAAAAATCTCTGTCCTCCTACTGCAAGCCTATGGATAGTTAGATGTCTACGGATTGCTTGTAAAAAGGGGTTCTAATGACAGAGCAAAAAGTAAGGGGGAAAGCTTGTATCCCTGCCTTGTTCCATTGCTCAAACAGAAAAGTGTTCTATGGACTGTAGAAATCTTAATTTATGCTATGACATTATACGTTACTTTAACCAAGGTGATATAGGAGTTTGTGAAGCCCAGCTGTGGCAGGATTTCAAATAAATAGGGCTATTTGACCATATCAAATGCCACCTTGGCATTCAGATATAGTATTAAGGTAGATGTTTACGTAGCAACTTGCCTCCAGATATTTATATTCCCAAGTGTATTTTCAAACAAATGCCTACCGGGAATAAAGCCTACTTGGTCTGCATTTATCAGTTGGGTCAACAGAGCATTTAATCTGGGTGCCAGAATCTCTGCAAGTATCTTCGTATCATGGTTAGAGATCCTTTTTTTTTTTTATAAATTGACTTTTTTTCTGCCTGTGTTCAATACCCCTAACTACAACAATAATTCTATGTACAGGCACTATTTTATCCGTATTGGTGCAAGGTATCAAGGTAGCCCATATACCTCCTAACAAACATATAACAACAAATGATACCGTACTCAATTATTTTGAATATAATTCATTGCTCTATTTAATAATTCATTAATTTTACAAGTATAGTAATATTTAAGTATATACAAAAAAAGAATAAGAAAATATACTTAGTGGAAATAATATATCCTGTGACAACCAATGTTACTCCATGTATATATAAATCCCTACAAAATCAGACTTACTTATTAACAATAATGCTAAACTGCATTAATATATCTGAGAGTCCAGATTACCATCTGAAAGATTTTTGAGAAAAATGCAAAAATATGAAAAAAGTGAAAAAATGAGAAAAAAATCAATAAAGAAATAATGTATATACAGTCCCAATGTGTACACACTATAATGTTTGGGTGGATCTCACCAAAATTTCCGTAGACACAGGTCCTGTTTCAGGCAAAGTTGTAATATGCACACATAGATGGTGAACTGTCCACAATGCACAGTATCTCTGTGGTTTTTGTAATCCTATTATTTCTCCCTGGGTGTATATATGATCTCCCAGTTGTCAGTGAGGTACCAGGTGTCTTCTTTAAATGTCGGTGTAGGGTCTTGGGCTGCGCGCTCGGGACCTTGATAGCCCCTTCGATGGCCCTGTTGAAGTAAGAAATAAAAATTCTGTATTTACATCCTGTTATTGCGCGCCCGCTTGGTCACGCGGGTCATGCCTAAGTAACGTCATGACGCACACGTCTATTAGAATACTGGCGTGTGACTCCCCCAATGTGTATGTATGCCTGTCTCTTACTGCACCTGCATGTCCATCTCAATGCACATGCGTATATACCTCATGGGATGCCGTCCGTCCTCCTTAATTTTATTAACAAAGTCAATAATTAAATAATCCCTCCTGTACCTAACAAAAGGCTGTACAGAGGAATAAAGTTCTATATTAGACTATACGGAAAATCTCTATTGGTCCATAAACCACAATGTCACAACATACATATGTATACAGATATAAAAACAAACATGGAGTATTTAAATTTACCTGCTTCTTTGGCAGAATGCCAGAGGAAACTGATGAAATATAGGAATACTAGCCCTTGTTCCTTCCTATTCCCTAAATATATCTAAAATATACAAATGCAGCAAATGTATCCCATATTTATAGAACTCTACCAAAGATCTAAATATTACTATTGTATTAAGGTATATTATTGGAGATGCAACCTCCAAGGAAATTCATCTAAAAGCGGGAATTATGCTACTCATAACCCTAAGGGGGTCCTCCTATATTTCCATTTATGTTGAAAATCCTTTCTCAAAGACCAACATTATTATATAATTATACTATATTCAAAATAATATCTTTTGAGACAATATATCATTATTCAAGAGGCCATACCTCTAAGAAGTTTTTTGTGTAAAATGAGTTCTATGTAGTGAAAAGCTTTTTACGAGGGACTTTCCAATGTCCTTAACTAGTTTACCACAGATAACCTGCGTTAGCTATATAGAAACACAGTGTGGCAGCAAATGATATTGCAACAGGCAATCAAAGGCAAACCGTTCACACCTCCAAAGGTCATAAGTTTAAAAAAGGGGGCATACTCACCAGCAGTGTAATGTGTGAAAAATGCCTGTGGTTTTCCTTACGTTGGACCCCGTTGTCAGTTGGGTTACGGACCACGAGTGGTCAACTACTTTAGAAACTTTTGGAGAGTAAAAGAGACAGGCGTACCAATGCCATGCTATAAATATAAGATAGCACATTAGTCCAAAAAAGGGACCAAAAGGGGGTGACGCATGCGCAGTGTGAGGGCCAGGTCGCAGCGGTGACCGGGAGCTGTGGGGGTGTCGGTGCCGCGTCGTGCTGTCCGTGTGGCCCTCAGGCTCCACTTCCTTCCTCCGCCATGAGCTTCTTCGGCTTCAGGCCAGCCGCGGAGCTGGACATCGCGCTGACGGACGCCGAGAGCTGCCGGCGGGTGGAGCACAAGAGCGAGGATGGCAAGAAGGACAAATACTGCCTGTACTACGACGGGGAGACCGTGTCCGGCCGGGTCACTGCGGCCCTCAGGAACCCGGGCAAGCGGCTGGAGCACCAGGGGCTCAAAATAGAATTCATCGGCCAAATCGAGCTGTACTATGACCGTGGGAACCACCATGAATTTGTATCACTGGTGAAGGATTTGGATCGGCGAAATCTCGCAGACTCAAAGCTTTGATTTTGAATTTACTCATGTGGAGAAGCCATACGAGTCGTACACTGGTCAGAACGTCAAGCTACGATACTTCCTGCGCGCTACGCTGAGCCGACGTCTAAATGACGTTGTGAAAGAGATGGATATCGTGGTGCACACACTGAGTACATACCCCGAGCTCAATTCTTCAATCAAGATGGAAGTGGGGATTGAGGATTGCTTGCACATTGAGTTTGAGTACAACAAGTCCAAATACCATCTCAAAGATGTAATTGTGGGGAAAATATATTTCCTCCTTGTACGGATCAAGATCAAACACATGGAAATTGATATCATCAAGAGAGAAGCGACTGGCATTGGGCCAAATGTCTACCATGAAAATGACACGATCGCCAAGTACGAAATCTTGGATGGAGCCCCTGTAAGAGGCGAATCCATACCAATTCGGCTTTTCCTTGCTGGCTATGAGCTGACTCCAACCATGCGAGACATCAACAAAAAATTCAGTGTGCGCTATTACCTCAACTTGGTGTTAATCGACGAGGAGGAGAGGCGTTACTTCAAACAGCAGGAGGTGGTGTTATGGCATAAAGGAGACATTGTGCGGAAGAGTATGTCTCACCAGGCTGCTATTGCATCTCAGCGATTCGAGGGGACGAGTCACCCCGAGTGTAGACCACAGCATAGTGGGGCCACAGCGGGGGACCAGGAAAAAGAGTGAAATTGTGTCCTTCTTTTCAGGCCTTCTTGGTCCAATATACAGAGACTGAACCTCTTTACCCCAAACCTTGTCGCCATCTGTGCTGTTACCCCAAGCACGGGCATTCGGATCTATGCCTGCAGAGCGACGCAACAGGCACAATTTACCAGGCAGGCCAAATCCCAACTCATTTGGTGATATTTGGGGGAAGATGAGAAGTATAATGGTCCCTTAATAGTTTTTATTCTCACATTGCCTTTGTTAATATCACAGGCCCATCTCGGTGTTACACACAAACTTATTAACAATGAAGGGGGTGGGAGGGACACGTATCATTTCAGCAAAAGGTTTTTTTCTTTTCACTTTTCTTGCCATGAGAAGTGCCCTCTTCTTATAAATGGGAGTAGGTGCTGATGTAACTAATAGTTAATGTCTCAGTGCCAGTAATGCACCAATCTGCCCATTGTCAATGCCTGTCTCTTTTAAGATGCTGTTTTAACCACCAGCGAGCAGCATCTCCAAGCATGACATCTCTGTAAGATGCCCCAGTGAGGCCTTACTCCCAACAATCCTCTTTAAAAGTGTTTTATTTGTTAATCTGTGCACTGCCTTTTGGAGGTTGAATTTAAAATATTGAAATATTTCCCCTGAAAATCTACATGAAGAAATATGAAGGTTTAATTGTTAAATTAACAAGGAATTAATATCTAAAAAAAAAATTAAGTATTTTAACCCCTTAGGGAGTCAGGGACTTTGCCTCTCCTTAGGCACATGGAAGGTTTAAGCTGGGCAGCTTTCCTTGAAATCCAAACTATTGCACGTATATTGCCTCTCGGCAGAATCATAGTATTACTATACTGGAGAACCCTGCTCCACTATTAAAGATGAAGTGATCCTTGTGGATTCCAATTCTAAGGGGGGTGAGGGGATGGAGATTCCCCAAGGGATAAGAATATGGGATTCTTTGCTCATTAACTAGTCTAATAAGCTTAGATTGCTTAATAACGCCGAATAGATCAAGTAGATTCTATTAGCCATTTGTGAGGGGGGAAAGCATTTTGAAGTATTGTATTAAATTCGAACTGTGTACACATTTAATGTGCTTCACCATGTTTAAATTATATACAAAATATATGCTTTTTGGTTAAAACAAAGTGTTTACGAGGTGGTAATTGATGTATCTATTTGTGAGAAAGACTGCGTTTTTTAGAAAAAAAACTTGGATGTGCCTCAGGTATGTAATTTAGATTGTAAGCTCCTAGGAGCAGGGATACTCAGTGTCTGCATTAATTTCAAGGTGACAGCTCTCCCTTCTACAGATCACTTTCACACTTCAGAGAATTCCATCAGTTGCAGTGTTTTATTTTATTTTTCATGACTAATTTCATTGTGTTTTAAATGTCTCTTTTACATGGTTTTATTAGTCTAAGATTAAACAAACAAAAAAAAAAAGGGAACAAAAGATGGTCTACCAGAACAACACTATATTGGTCATAAAACCAGTTTACAAAATATTTTGAGGTCATAGTCCTCATTCAGACCATCTGGATACAATGTCTCCAAAGTGCTAATCCACTTTGTTTCTTTACTTAAAAGCACCTTCTGTCTATCTCCACCCCTCCGTAGAGGTTTAACACTGTCAATCACTTGAAAACGTAATTGATTGACATTGTGACCTTGTTCCAAAAAATGCCTTGGTACTGTTTTCTCGCATGTCCCTCTCTGGATGGCCGCTCTTATGTCCCTCTTATGCTCTCCAATACGTTCTTTCACTGGCCTAATTGTTTCTCCAACATAGAGAAACCCACAAGGACACTTCAAAATATAAACCACATATTCAGAATTGCACGTATAATAATCAAGTATTTTAAAAGATTTGCCTGAACGTGGATGAACAAAGCACTCACCCCTGATTATACTGTTGCAATGTATACAGTTAAGGCACGGAAAAGTGCCTTTCTTAGGTTCATAAAAAAATCTTCTTTGTTTTTTGTTACTGCCTATGTCTGAGTGTACTAATTTATCTCTCAAATTCTGTGCCGTTTGGTAAGAAAACAAGGGGGGATTCCTGAATTCATTTGGTAAGTTAATGTCCCCTTCGAAAATATTCCAATGTTTCATTATGATCTTTTTAATGTCATTGCTATAAGGTGTATATGGTGATATGAAAGGGATTCTCTGTGTACTGTTCCTTGTTCCAATAGGGTTAAGCACCTCATCCCTGTCCATATCCAAAACCTTAGTTCTGTGTCGTTCCACTAATTCCGGTGGATAACCCCTATGTATAAATTTATTACACATGAATTCCATCCCAGGTTCCACCTGACCTTCCTGTGAAATTATTCTTTTTACTCACAACAATTGACTGTATTGTAAACCATCCTTCAAATGTTGGGGATGGTAACTAGTATATTCCAAAAGATTATTTCTGTCCGTGGGTTTCGTGTAAATATCAGTATGTAGTTTATTCTCGATCAAATATACCTGGGTGTCTAAGAATGGAACTGTTTCTCTATCACACGTCATGGTGAATTTGATGTTGGGGTCCAAAGAATTCAATTGGCCAAAAAAAGTATCCAATTGAACTTTTGTACCCCCCCCCCCCCAACATACAAATACATCATCGATAAATCTCTTCCACGTAAGACATTTCTCAAACAGTGGGGTGGTATATACACACAATTCCTCTAATCTATTCATATAGATATTGGCATAAGTAGGGGCTACATTCGAGCCCATCGCCTTCCCTTTCACTTGTCTGAAAAATCTGTCTTCAAAGAGAAAATAATTCTCAGTCAAGACGAATCGTAACAGGTCCAATATATATGTCTTGGTGTCCGAGTGTTGAGTTAATGTTGGATCCTGATCTAATGTCCACTCTACCGCTCTTAGTCCCCCTGTATGGTCTATTGCTGTGTACAAAGATTGGACATCCAAAGTTACCAACCAGACCTCCGTAAGTTGTCCAACAGTAAGAGTATTAACCAATTTTAGAAAATCATTTGTATCCTTAATATAAGATTTTAGTTTGAAACATATTTAATAAAAAACGTATCTAAAATTACAGCTGGTGGTTGTAAAATAGAGTCTGTGCCACTAACTATGGGTCTTCCTGGCGGGGCTTGCAGGTTTTAATGGATTTTATGGAGAGTATAAAAAACAGGAGTTGTTGGATATTTCTTGTACATATATTTATACTCTCCCTCCATAATAATGCCCTTTTCCATGGCATCCTTCTTCAATCCCTGTAAAACTATCTGTAGTCGCTGGAAGGGATTCCCATCCATCGGTTGATAACTAGATGTATTATTCAAATGGGATCTAATTTCCTTCACATATTAATCTTGATCCATGATCACCAACGCCCCGCCCTTGTCGGCCGGTTTAATAATGATCGAATTATCTTGTTAAGTGTATTTAATACCTGCCATTCTTTCTTAGTTAAGTTAGGTTCTTGTTGGAAGGCTCTACCTTTCCTCTGTTTCTTTCTTCTTAGTTTCTTAGTATCTCTTTTAATCAAATTAGAAAATATATCAATAGAATGGTTAAAGATGTTAGGTGTAAATTTGCTATTCGGTTTCAAACCTGTGCCAAGTGGAAGGGATAAGTCACTCGTTGTGGGTGTCTTTTTTTTGTGTTACTGCTGGTATATTTTCATGCCCCTGGGTTCTACTCTGGGCTGAAAGTGCCCTATTGTTGTTCTCCATAGTTGTCGTTGATGTAGAGCTCATAGGACCACTTCCTGTATCTGTGATGAAAAAATACACTTTCAGTTTAAGCTGCCTTAAAAATGTATATAGGGAGACATCATATTCAAACCATTGTGGTGAGGGGGTGGGGACAAATGAAAGACCCTTATTAAGTACCACCTCTTCATGTATTGTCAATGGCCTACCTGATAAATTATATATTCATTTCTCCTCCTAACTATATGGAAAGTTTTAGAGAAAGATTGTAATATCAACTTGCCATATAATGAGTAAAAATCTCCTCAATATATACATATTTTAAGGATAGCTTTTAAAAATGTACACCTAATTTAAGATGTTTTTCATGTATGCTTTTACATATAAAATTAAGAGATGTAATTTTAGTGAATTGCTCACCTTGTTTTAGTGGCCTATAAGATACTGGCTCCAAGTTTTAACATATTGTGCCAATTATGGAGTGGCAGGTACATACTTTTAGATTTGCTGGGTGAAAAATGTTCTGTCTCCTTATTCATTTATATATTCATTCATATATTTTCCCCTTTTCCCCCCTCCTTTTTTGTATCACTATCCCTTCTGTATGGTAATTTAAACTTGTGTTGAGCACAGTGGATTTGGACCTGGTAGTTTGGGACCCACGGGATCAGGATACGAAAACTTCAGAACGACGTTGCTCTGCAACCCAATACGTCATTTCCCCTGTATGCATGAATTAGGTATGCACAATGATTGATGGGAACCAGCTGCTGGAACGTACCCCTCGCGAGACAAACATCCTATTGGATTACACAAATTTTGGACATCCCCTTAAAAAGGGGAAGGAAACTAAAGAATGCAGCAATTGAAAAAGCCTGTGAATCAGATGAAATGCATCTCAGAGACTGTGAGGACAATTTGTTATAGTTTTTATCTCATTGTGAGATATTTTGTTAGATTTATATATTAAAGTCACCTATTACTTTTTATCACTGAGTCCTCTTGATAAATATTTTTTCAAGAAAAGGGGTACCTGCCACTCCATAATTGGCACAATATGTTAAAACTTGGAGCCAGTATCTTATAGGCCACTAAAACAAGGTGAGCAATTCACTAAAAGTATTAAGTACATATTTAAATTGTATTGGGTCATCTGCACCATCTCTCTGCACCTTTTGTCTTCTGTTTCATACATATTCTACTGGATCCCTTAAAGGGAAATACAGAAGAAGGTTGCTGTTGCCTCCAGTAAGGCACAGGAAGCTCATACGTTCAGAGCCAAACGTTTAAAAGGCTCTACAATTGTGAGCATTTCTGATTTTTACTTACCTTTGTTGATTTACCCAACAATATTTCACTATTATATATTTCTTTGTTTTTCTCCATTTATATTTTAACATTCATGCTGTATTACATGATTGATAAGCTTTCATTTGTTAGCATGAAATAAACCTTTTTAGTGCTGCACTGTACACTTTTGTGTTCTGTATAGAGAAGGGTAATATCAAGTACTTGTGTTTGTTCACTGTTTAATTAAAGAGATGGGTCTATAATTCTCTGGCTGCTGGTTGTCTCTACCCGGTTTTTGGTTAAGTATTATATTTGCTAAGGTCGTTGAACAATAGTTCAAGTATAGGGGTGAGTTCCTCATGCAATATCTTCTAATAGCTTCCATCTAAGTCATCTGGGCTCATGGCCTTTTTCCACTTCAACGCCAAGATAACATCATCAAATCTCCTCAGAGATAAGGGCATGAGGCACCTCAATACTTCATTTCAAAGAGAGAGTGAACTCATTCACCCTCCAAGGCAATAGAGGCTGGATCCTGAGGGAATTGATCGTACGGGATTTCATAGAAATTTGTAAAAACTCTAGCTATATATTTTGGACTGGTCTTCAATGAATTAACTTTGTCTCTAATAGCCATTATAGGAGGGTGCCCCTGTCTGGGATGTAAAGACCTTGCCAGCAGCATGTCATTCT